CACTCCGAATGAAATATTTACCTTGGTTGACCTCTGTTGTGCCAAACTTATTTCTTCACAAAATCCACAAACAATCAAATTACTATCATTATATTTGAAGCATGTATTTAATGCACGCCGTTCTTAATTATAAGTTTTGTTTATTATATCACATCCACGTGACAAAATAATATGTTCTGATGTAATTGTACCTCAGGTCATATGGCCTGCAGTATTGAATAAACGAGTCTGAGTCTGAATCTGAGTCTGACAATACGAGTACCATCTGTCACAGAGCATGTCCATCCGATTGCAGCGGTGTGTGGTCCGGTGCATAGAGCTCAGCTCACGAATCAGTTGAAGTTAAGCAACACCGGTCGCGGAGAGTCCTTTGATGGGTGACCGTGTTTGGCAGCTTGACTCCTGAGAGTTTCTAGGACTTCTGTCCTGCCCCCTTAGGCAAGTGAGTTTGTTCAACATTGCCTCTATTCACCCAGCAGGAAATGGGTACCCGGGGGGATAAGTCATTTGACTATAACATTCCAGCGCCTAACAGGCAATAATGTGCTGCGGTTTGATTGTTAGCGCTATGAGCATTCACCTAATGAATGGAGTTTAGGACATTATAAATGCACTTATTATGATTCCCATTTCGGTTTTGTCTTACGACCAGCATATCACTACGGGGGACCGTATCCCAACCATATTGACCACTTCTTGTTATCTGGACAGCTTTAAATTCTACAGCGGGTTACAACCTGGATAAGTTAAATTTGGAACATGATTATGTCATACTTAAAACGGGGTGGTGGGGTAGCCTCGTGGTTACAACGTTAAGGACTTGGGTTCAATTTCCCCAAATGGGTACAATGTGTGGATTCCAATTCTGGTGTCCCCCGCCGTGATATAGCAATATTCCAGTATATCAATATTCACTCACTCACTCTCACACAAAAAAAACCATTGCTGTTTAACCGCATATGATCATTTCCAAACATGAATTAAGACATCTTTAAGAAGAAGATCACAGACAGAATCGGTCTTGATAAAAATGGGAAACATCTGATTTTGATACATTTGCCGTGAGAAAAGTTTCGACGCCATAGTTGACTGAACACAATCTGTCAATCCTGGACACATTTATTACTGTGCACTGAGATCGCCAACACGATTGTATAAGAACATCCATCAAAGTTCTTCACAGTGTTTTTCCATCCTGTGTCTTTACAAACAAATCCTCCATGTATATTGTTTGTCTGTAAATCCACAAGATTAAGGCAACAACGCCTTGTAAACAGGTTATTTAAATGCATGTTTCAAAATATTTTATAAAATATGTTTCCAAATATATTTATAAAATGTTTCAAAATATTTTATAAAATATGTGTAACGTATTGCACGCATATTGTACATGTACGTCAAAGAATGCGTAATTACCAGTTAAGGTGGCATTACCTGTAAGTGTGTTTTAGATTCATAATTCACCCACTGTCTGTGAAATTGTTTGCATTGACTGTTTTGTTTTCTCCTTTATGCATTTGGGCGGCGGGGTAGCCTAGTGGTTAAAGCGTTCGCTCGTCATGCCGAGACCGCCTCCGTGGTGTAGTGGTTAGAGCGTCCGCCCGGAGAGCGGAAGGTCGTGGGTTCGATCTCCGACCGCTTCATACCCAAAGGCGTTAAAATATGGTACTTGTTGGCATTAATGGGTACAACAAGGACTGGTCGGCTCGGAGTCAGTATACTGTGTCTGAGTGGGGTATTCATGCTTCACTGCGGCATGGTATCTCAGTGAGCTAGCACTATAAAACCAGCTAGTACAAGCAACCGCACATACACATATACACGCATGTACGTCGTCATATGAGTGAAATATTCTCAAGCACGACGTTAAACCGTATTTCACCTCACCTCACCTCACCTCGTCATGCCGAGGCCGGGTGATCAACAAATACTGTTTGAAACTGCTACGAATGGACTCTTTTAGATATCCAAGGCAGAGCTATCTTCTTCTCAAATCCTTAGACGATAATGGAAGACATAACTGGGTGTCGGAGGTCAGATCTCTGCTCTTTTGAACAGGTTTCGCATGGACTTGGTTATCACAACAAGTTGGTGACGGAAGGTATTCATCAGCACTTTCAAACAAAGGTTACAGAATATCTTTATCCACATGGGTACAATGTGTGAAGCCCAGTTCTGGTGTCCCCTGGTGAAGCCCATTTCTGGTGATATTGCTGGAATATTGCTAAAAACTCATTCACTCACTCGCCGTTATGCATTTAATTCTGATAAAGTATAATAAAATTATATCTACGAAGGTAACCATATTTTCCAATAGCAAAATTCTTGTCGCTAGGGAATCTGTACGAAGTAACTGCATGCGTTGTATGTAGTCGAGTGCAGTTAAATATACCTTCGTACAAAATTATACAATATTTCATACATGAAGACAAAAAGTTTGAATGTGTGCTGCCTGCAGTGGATATTATTTCACTGCATACCGAAGAGTCGCTTTGTGATTTTATGAACGCTTCAAACAATTTAAAAAAAAAACAGGGTTGTGTGTCGTTATTGGAAAACACGTGACGAATAGGAATGAAAAGAATTTCGAAAGTGTCATTCCGGACCACGTTATCTGAGACACCCTTGGTCAGAGATCCTGTTATTCCGAGCACCGTTTGTCGGGATCATGTTTGTACGGACCAAGTTATCTGAGACACCCTTGGTCCGAGATCCTGTTATTCCGAGCACCGTTTGTCGGGATCATGTTTGTACGGACCAGGTTATCTGAGACACCCTTGGTCCGAGATCCTGTTATTCCGAGCACCGTTTGTCGGGATCATGCTTGTGCGGACCAGGTTATCTGAGACACCCTTGGTCCGAGATCCTGTTATTCCGAGCACCGTTTGTCGGGATCATGCTTGTGCGGACCAGGTTATCTGAGACACCCTTGGTCCGAGATCCTGTTATTCCGAGCACCGTTTGTCGGGATCATGTTTGTACGGACCAGGTTAGAGACACCCTTGGTCCGGACCACGTTATCTGAGACACCCTTGGTCCGAGATCCTGTTATTCCGAGCACCGTTTGTCGGGATCATGCTTGTGCGGACCAGGTTATCTGAGACACATCATGATCAACATCATGAGCATCGTTCTACGCAATTGGGATATGATGACGTGTGTCCACCCAGTCAGCGAGCCTGACCACCCGATCCCGTTAGTCGCCTCCAACCTCAAGCATGGGTTACTGAAGATCAATTCTAACCCGGATCTTCACGGGTACGACAGCGAGATGTGGGATCGGATCTTATTGCGAGTGAGCTTAAATCCATACATAACGACTCAGAGTGACAAAGCACTCTCCACAGGGCTGTGTGACAAAATGGAAAATTTCAACTTTCCCATAGTTTTCTTTCCCTTCATGTCAGGAAATATTCCAACATTTCCAGCTTTGACATTTCACAACTTTTGAGGTACAATCGAGCGTGTTCTTTTTACCAAAGAACGTCATGCTGTTCATCAAGGTTACAGCAATCGTGGCCTCCAAAAAGCTTTCAAAACCATTTTATGACCGACAAGTGGACGGAATTTCAGCATTTGACGCATCAGTGACAAATACCACGCTGACAGGATCTGTCCGATGTAATTTCCCTACTTTGAATTGTACCACGCGTTCCTGATTTTTTTCAAATGAACAGCTGACTAGCCTTTGTTCAATGGATGTCACCAGTGGATCTGGAGTACCTGAGTGATTTTATATAATTAGCTTCTCGCCGCACTATTCAAGCTATATAGCGTCGATCTGTAAATAATCGAGTCAATCCAGTGATCAAAAATCACGAGCATCAATCTACACAATTGGGATACGATGACATGTCAACCAAGTCAGCGAGCCTGACCACCCGATCCCGTTTGTCGCCTCTTACGACAAGCATGGGTTACTGAAGATCAATTCTAACCCGGATATTCACGGATCCAGTGGATGATGAAAGCCTCACCGTTCGTCATGATATAGTCGGAATTGTACAATCGATTTCTTATGGGTGTTGAAAGGATTTTGTCGCTTTTATTTTCACGTTTGATGTAAACACAGTAAACATGTGTCTACATTCCGTTCCAAACTGTAACACATGGCGTAGTATTCGATAGGCTGTTACGATAAGGTTCAAGGTGAATCTAATTCCGAATATATGTCATCGTACTGTGCGTGATCAATGTGAACTAAATGAAAGACAACTGAAAGGTGGACAACATTGTATGCATGTAGTATTTTCGGTACTTTACAAATGCCAACATACCAAGCCTCCATATGTCTACCTGTTATTTTGAAGAATTTGAACTCCTTCTGGAAACAGACAGCGTTCTTATGGCAGTTTTTTTAGATTTACATAAACGAACGACCAAGCCGATAGAGGTTACTCACAGAGTTGGCTGGTTCCACTCAGCAATATTGCAGCTAGATTGTCGGTCTGGAAATAATCCAGTCTGGACCTGACAATCCAGTGATCAACATCATGAGCATCGATCTGCGCATTTGAGATACGATGACATGTGTCAACCAAGTCAGCGAGCCTGACCATCCGATCCCGTTAGTCGCCTCTTGAGACAAGCATCGGTTACTGAAGACCAATTCTAATCCGGATCTTCACGGGATCTAGACACAGTGTGCTCATGTACAGTAACGGTACAGTGTTTAAAGATATAACTTCAATAAGCGTTTCTTCTTTGATTTGATAATAGTTCATTACAGAGGCTCAGTAACTGTTTGGTAGTCCGAGACGTACATGTTCCCAATACTAGTTCTTAACATTGTTACAAATTTTCCAAGTTGGGTACAGGCGCGAGGTCATGGTGAAACCCTTTTGAAAATGCTATACATTCGTAAGTCATCTTTACCGTTTTCGAAAGTGAAGTGTATGTGGATTTCACGTAAGCCAATCAGACTCGCGTACAACAGGCTGGGATCACACGAACTGTTGTAATTTCACGCATGGCGTTCCTAACATATATCAAACCAGGAGTAGTATTTGACTAGACCTTTATACCAAATGAAATCCTTTCGATGACGTCAGTTTCTTTCGCAAACACCCTTACACTGGTTTAAAGGCTGAAATTGTTGATGAAACATGTACGATATCTGTAACCTTTCATCAGTTTTATTAGAATCCTATTCTCTCCCAGTGCCAGTTTCCGCTAGAGTAGTCCACGTCTAGCCTGAACACCAGAGTGAGTGAGTGAGTTGGGTTTTACGCCGCTTTTAGCAATATTCCAGCAATGTCACGGCGGGGGACACCAGAAATGGGCTTCACACATTGCACCCATGTGGGGAATCGAACCCGGGTCGTCGGCGTGACGAGCGAACCCACGAGGCCAATCCACCGCCCCCTTGAACGCTAGAACTTTCACCATGACAGACAGCTAAGAAACAGACCAATCAATAAACGACTCAAAGACATATCACCTCCTCATAATTCATTAAATGAGGCCATCGTATAATGTTAAAGAGGAGCGGTGGTGGTAGCCTTATAATTAAAGCGCTCGCTTGTTACTTCGACGACCAGGGTTTGATTCCCCAAATGGGTACAAATTGTGAAGCTCACTTCTGGTGTCCCCCGCCGGAAAGTTGCTGGAATATTGCTAAAAGTGGTGCAAAACCTTATTCACGCACTCACTCACTCACAAACTTTGGATAAGATCAAGGCGTATGTCACAAGCTATCTCTGACGCTGCTTTCTTCATCAGCATATTCATCATCGTCTTTTCCACAATAAATTTGAAGTCTCGTGTACCCTAAATAATCTTCAAATGAAGTCAATGTCTTCCTATGTTTGTTAGGATAACTTCTTACGTCACAAGATGCTACCCGTCATCCGTAACGCTTTCATCAGTCTTATCTGAATCCTTCTCCCGTAGTTCCTCAGCTTCTAGCCGTGGTTCCCGATCCACGCCGTACCTGGACACCAGGACCTTCACCACGATGACCAGCGCAATGACGGCCAAGAAACAGATGACTTCATCAATAAACGACAAGTACACATACCACATCATGGACACCTCCTGCATCAGGTAGCCTAGCAACAGGGGATTCAGCATCCCCTGACAGTGTCCGGCGATCATGATGATCGACGTTACCACACCTGTAACCTTCATTATGTCATTCTCCACGAAGCAAATCCCGGTTGGGAAGATAATTCCGAGTCCAACAGCAACAACAATGATACAGACAGTGAAACCAGAATCACTGTCCACAACCACGCTTAGCCACAACGCTGCCAAAGTCAGTGTCACAGTGGCGTTGCAGATAAAGAGAAGCTTCGCCGGAGCCAGAAATCGGATGATGAAGACGCCCAGAAGCCTAGCTGCAGCTACGCCTGCCCAGAACCCGGATGCAAGCTGTGCAGTTCTGTCCTTACTCCAACCTCGTTCAGAAACACAGAACACCATTAGGTAGCCAATAATGACCATGCCGCATGCGCAATGGAAGAAGTTCATCAGAGCTAAGAGAGCAAGGACAAGACCTGTCAGCCATCTTGGAAGGACACGAGGGTTACGGTGATCGTCCTTGGCCTTGGAATCAGAGGTCATCGTTCGCCTATTTAGACATGATTCCAAGTAGATAAGAATACCAGACATCAGGGAAAGTATTCCAGCAATTAAATAGGCAAACTGTACACGAGTCTTTGGTTGTGGGCAGCCACTGGAACTAACTGTGTCATTGGATGCGTTTAAAGTTGAATACCTCAGGTACATACTGTCTGGCTGAATGTCATTTAACTTTGATATATTTTCTGTCATGATGGTGTGATGGCATGTGGTGTTGATAGCTCCTTTTTCCAACAAGAAGGGTTCCACTGTGAGGGGAGATATGACAGTTCCAATTGCAAAGGAAAAATGGAGAAATTGCATATATGTTTTGCCTTCAACACCCCAGGTACTCATTAGGTCCGAGTTTCCACCTGGAACAGAGAAAGAAATTGAATGAGTGAGTGGATGAAACGACAGGCAAACGCTCGAATTTAGCAGATCTTGTCGCTTAGCTAAAATCCACCTGATACAAGCATTATCAAGGGAGGTAACTATGCACAGTGGATTGCGACATGCTAATATATTGAGCCAAATATCCACATAAACAATATAAATACTTAAATCTTTGAAACACAGTAACATAAAATGGAAACTATAAATGCGACATATTTAACTGTTGAGCCAAATGCCTCATACAAATATTATTAACATTTTAACCTTTGAGACACAATAACATGAAATGGAAAGTTTAAATGTATGCTAAAATTTTCATGAGCTCAAACGTAAACGAAGTCTTTACTCTCAAGATAGTTTAAGCAGATGTATACCAACAAAAAACCTTGTTGAATCTGTACACCGAAAATCATAAATTGTACATGGATGATAAGTATTATAATAATGTCGTCACAAAGCGGAAAAACTAAGGGGCTTAATCAGGACGATCCTAACGCACGGTCACAGAAGTCACTTAAAGGACGCAACGAAATATTTACCAAATCTGTTCTTTACGGTGTCCGGGATCGTTAGGGTTGTGAGTAGAAAGAATCGACCCTACGTTAAAGAACGGCCACGTTCATTATGTTACTATGTCGATGCCAAGTGGGAAGACGTGTGCATTACCGTGTCGGTGGTTAGGAGGAACCTGTCTCCACATCTCACACCTAATGTACAGCTGTCTGCAATGTCAATACTTCTGTCAGCTTCACTTTTACTCTTTGGCGAAAGATGCTTAGTGTAATGTTTGACGATGAGGAGGAGAAAGGGGGGGGGGGGTGGTTTGAAGAAGAGGAGGAGGTTGATGATGAAGACGACGATGGCGATGAAGATTAGGAGGAGGAGGAGTTGGAGTCGATGGACTGACTGACTGAGTTTGGTTTTACGCCGCTTTTAGCAATATTCCAGCAACATCACGGCGGGGGACACCAGAAATGGGCTTCACACGTTGTACCCATGTGGGGATTCGAGCCCGGGTCTTCGGCGTGAGGAGTCGATGGAGGACGACGAGGAAGATGACTACGATGATGGATGAATGAGTGACTTCAGTTTTACGCCGCACTCAGCAATATTCCAGCTATATGGCGGCGGTCTGTAAATAATCGAGTCTGGACTAAACAATCCAGTGATCAACAGTATGAGCATCGATCTGCGCAATTGGGAACCGATGACCTGTGTCAACCAAGCCAGCGAGCCTGACCACCCGATCCCGTTAGTCGCCTCTTACGACAAGCATGGGTTACTGAAGGTTCATTCTAACCCGGACCTTCACGGGTCACAACGATGATGATGAAAATGACGGCGACTATGATGATGGTGATGATGAGGAAGATGATGAGGCTTACATATCAGGAAAAATGCCAACACTTCACGACCGGGTGACTGCCTAATCGTATAACAGATAAACATATCGTAAAGTAAATAGTGGTTGCACAAGCACTACAGGTCGAGTGTGCTCACAATCCTAAACCACGTTTATGCAAAAGTCCGGCGGTGACAGACAGGAGAAACAGCATTGGACCTGTAAGTCGCGCGAGGCGCTATTTCCGGTACTAACCTGGTTTCCAGTTCCCTTTGCGCGCGCCAAAGTGCGATATGCGAGACGGGCCCAGCGTACTTCCGGTACCAGATTTCCGGTGACAAGCGTATATTCAAGAGCCAGTTATGGTTCCAAATTGCATGAATATGACTTGACTAGACCGGACCAATCGTACAACCATGCTTGACAGTCGTAATAGTTAGCTAATTTGGGAATGTTATATAGGAAATGTGTTATTCCTGTAAGGATTATCGGTTCCTTACTGTCAACAGGCAAGCATAAGACCATCCGAAATGGTATGAAACGTTGGTTGTCACCGGAAGTACTAAGGTCTCGCGAAGTGCCTTTTATATTTTCCATGTATTGGTTGCAAACTATGTTCTGTGGCCTACTGTTAGTGTGTCACAGTGACCGGTACTTTGTCGTACTGTATTGAATAGAGTTGTGTACTATTTGTCAATACGTCAGGCCACTTCAATAAAAATTCACAAGGTGTGCAAGTTCACTCGAGATTTCTACAGTGACGTCATGCAGTTGTTTGTTGTTCTTTTTTCCAATGACTCCGTTTTTGTAATGAACATCAAATGTAGCCAATATCCTGTAAGAATGCCTCGGGCATTTAGTTTGGATTTCTTGATTTCTTGGATCTTGTCTCTCTTTGATTTTCTTTCATTATTGGGAACCTTTCGCGAGAACTGTATAACACTACCAATACAGCTTTAATGCGAACATTAATATGCATCAAATGTTGACTTTTCACTGGGCTTTTCTCTTGCTCAAGGCATTACACTTTCAAACCAACACCTGCCAGTCGCGTTTACATTACAACATATACGGCTTAACATAATGGGCACTCTGTGCCTTTTGATGTTTACAAAAATAGGGATGCATTTATACTTTATTTGGAAATTTTGATTAGGACTTCAGAACACGTCGTTGTTGAGAGATTACTGTAAATGTCAGTGGTAGATCGCATGAATTATATTCACTGGTTAATAAAGCTCTCATTCCAATACATTTGAAAGCTTAAATTTCTTTATCTGTGAATTTGATTAATTTAAAGCTTAACTCTTGTATTCTAGAGCCTAGAGGCCTTCCATTTACTAAGTTGATGTAACAAGTTTTGATTTACCTGTGTCGAAAGCTGTACAGAAGGTAGTGTTCAGAAAGAATATAAATATTGTCAGGAAATAGTTGGTGCTCCACGGAACAGCTGCAGTGGTGACGGCGGCCGCGATGTTGGCGCTGGCCAGCAGGAGAGGTCTGTGATTGGTCAATCTGTCGAACAGGAAGCCCATGGTTATGGTCCCCACGAAACTGCCCACTGACATGGCAGTGTAGTAGACGGAAGCCTGTTCCAGGTTGATGCCAGTGATCTGTGCCATGTCCAAGAATGCAATTTGATGTTGGGCAATGCGTAAACCCTGAAACACAAGTGCAACATTACTCACTTAATTATCTAAACTGACGTAGAAACGAAAGTACTCACCTGCTGCTTTGGGATTATTTTCCAAAAATACAACGTACATATTTGAAACGTGTTAAAGTCACAAACGTTTTGTCGCCAAATCCCAAAATATCCGATGTGTAGTATTTTGTGCGGCATTTTATAATTTTGGCTTGTTTGTCTAACTGCTTACTCAGCAATGTTCTGACCTTATGACGGCGCTCGGAAAATAATCTAGTATGGAACAGACGATCCAGTGATTGACACTATGAGTATCAATCTACGCATCACTGGGATACGCATCAAACGTGCACTGAACACTGGTATTCAATGAGGAACTACTCGTAATTGCGCACCTCAGATAACAGGAGCTGAGTTCACAAGGACATCGTAACTTTACGACGGTCTTAAGTCTATTTTACAGTAAAGCATTAAATATACAGTCGTAGTGTGAAACAAGAAACATGATCTCCATTTAATGCAATGGAATCTCAGGTTAAGCAGGAATATAATATTTGGTCGACCACCAAAGTATAAATAGAAATTAAATATATCACTCACTTCAGTCACTGAAAATACAATATTAAATTACTGACATTGTAATGTTTAGAGAGGAATAAGGTCCAATTCTACTCACATACAAACTCCAATACATTTTGGCCTGAGATTGCATGGATGCGTGAGAAAGTTGTTCGGGAAGATGAAATTCATTCTCTGTGTGTGTGCGTGCGTGCGTGTGCGTGTGTGTGTGAGAGAGAGCGTGTGAGCGTGAGTTTGAAGTAGGGTGGGGGGACTCGAACCCGGGTCGTCGGGACAACTAACTGACGATTAAAATAACTGATATACCCTCCTACCCTTTAAGAAGAACATTGCCTCAGTAGGTAACACGGATTAATCATAACGGTTTTTTTGTCTTACCAGAACCATGTGCGATATGAACAAAACAATAGAGTGGACGAATTTCCGTCGGTAGTCTGGCTCTTTCAGTCTTTGGCGGAAACGGATACATATCTTCCCCTCATGAGCAGCTTGATCTGCCATTTTGCCCGTCTATCGCATCATTTTTCAATCTGGAAAATTTGAGAGAAATCGGATAAAATATATAAGAACATTCACAGTGAGTGCGTTTACAGATATGTTGTTTTCAAAGAGTACTCCAGCTATACTGACCTACAAAAGAAAGTAAACACTTGAAAATTGTACGTGGCCAAAACAATGTCAGACTGACTGACTGAGTTTGGTTTTACGCCGCTTTTAGCAATATTCCAGCAACATCACGGCGGGGGACACCAGAAATGGACTTCACAAATTGTACCCATGTGGGGATTCGAACCCGGGTCGTCGGCGTGACGAGCCAACGCTTTAACCACTGGGCTACCCCACCGCCCCAACAATGTCAGAACGTTAACAAGAAGGCGAAGCACAGCGGCTGAAATACTGCAAACACACGGTTCAAAACACAAGTACGAAACTCGTATCAATTACATCACCATCGAAACAATATTACTTGATAGTCTCATTTTTCAGTCACCATGTGGTTGTATAAGTTCTTTTGCCTGACAAGTAGATCGATGCTCATGCTGTTGATCACTGGATTGTCTGGACCAGACTCGATTAGTTACAGACCGACGCCATATAGCTGGTATATTGCTGAGTGCGGCATAAAACTAAATTCACTCACTCCGGATCCACTTTACCCGACAGTTTTTATCGGCGGGTCGGTGTGTCGGCGCAATGGTAGTGGAAAGTCCAAAGCGATGTGGATGCTGACCACTCAGGTGACACTCCTTGTCAAAATCCAACGAGCAAACCACAGGGCGAACATTGGATACGAACACGCGGATCCTGGCACAGCAACGGGGCGTAAATCGGAGGTGCCCGTGCCCCAAGCCATTCAGGAACAAAGCGTACATTTCACGTCGGGTAACATTCCACGAAAACATCCGCCAAGTTGACGATAACAAACAACGCCTTATCCATAATATCGGTCGACTGGTTTAACGAGTCTCCATGGTTCAATACACACACTGACACTGCGTACACGGCAATAAATCAAAGTACCTCCACAACCTTGACGTGAAGTCTTAACCCTAGCTGTGTCATCTATTTATAGTTGGCCTGCCTATCGATATATGTTCATCAGGGTCTGCTCGGCCCGGGAGTGCTGTTGTGCTTGACAGTAAAATATTAACTCATTTGACGTGTGATTAGACATTCATCCAAACGTACAGAGACACCCCATTAATCCGAACATAATGTGTCTGGATTAACGAAATTAAGAAGACATTGGTATGTAGGAAGTGTCCAGAAGGCTGGGTGTCCAGATAAAGGGGGTTCATCAGTGTAGATCATTGTTAACCTGCCTGCCTGCCTGAGTTTGGATTTACGCCGCTTTTAGCAATATTCCAGCAACATCACGGCGGGGGACACCAGAAATGGGCTTCACACATTGTACCCATGTGGGGATTCGAACCCGGGTCTTCGGCGTGACGAGCCAACGCTTTAACCACTAGGCTACCCCACCGCCCCTCATTGTTAACGCTGCAAGTAAAATCGCTGGAGTCGGATTTGAATGTTTATCATCAATATATGAGCGGCAAATCGTGAATCAAGCTGTCCAAATTATATCTGACCGAACTCACTACTTAAATTCGGAATACAACCTCCTCCCCTCAGGCCGCCGCTACAAAGTTCCAATTGTGAAAACTAAGAGAGCCCGTACATCCTTTATTCCAAGTACCATATCTCTCTTAAACAAATGTGAAGATACCTAAATCAAAGAATTTATGTAAATATGTTTGGTATCTCTCTAATGTGTCAGTAGCTCTGCTGATGTAACACAAATTCCTGAAAAGGTATTAAAGTATTATTCTATTCTATTCTAGATCATTTACAAAATATGAAATCAACATATGGTGATTTGCTATATAATGTAATCCCTTCCACATCCAAAGCTGGTGGAATTGAAAACTAAAATAGATTGATATGTTAAATTAAACAATGAGTACTCAGGGACCCTTCATAATTTATGGCTGGGGGGGGATGATGATTTTATAGGAGAAGCATATACAATGTGAGTGACCCCCCCTAAAATTTATAAAGTAAAAGTACATGACCCCCCATGTCATGTACAAAATCAATAACCCCCCTCCCTCCTATGTTCTTAAGCATAATCCTTTAAATATTTTATGTACAAAATTGCTGACCCCCCTAGTACATGTGTACAAAATTGATGGTCACCCCCTACCTCCCCAGAACAAAAAGGGTGAACCTCCTTAAAATCATCATCAACCCCCCTAGCCACAAACTATGAACGGTCCCTTATCGTGTTTCTAAGATTAATACATTGTACCAACCTCCAACCCCACAACACTCTCTCCCTCCCTCTCTCTCTCTCTCTCTCTCTCTCTCTCTCTCTCTCTCTCTCTCTCTCTCTCTCTCTCTCTCTCTCTCTCTCTCTCTCTCTCTCTCTCTCTCTCTCTCTCTCTCTCTCTCTCTCTTTCTCATGCACACTCTCACACACGCACACATACTTTCTCTCTCACACACACACAAACACACACACACCTTGAACATAAACATCTTGGAGTAACATTTTCTTCTGATTGTAAATGGAACACACATATTGATAACATTGTAAAAACAACGTCCTTGATGGTTTCATCAATGAGAAAATTAAAGTTTATGTTAAACAGAGACACTCTTAATAAGATTTATATTGTATTCATAAGACCACATCTTGAATATGCTTGTGAATTGTGCGATGGTTGTTCGGTAGATTTAACCGATAAAAATGAAAAAATTCAGTTTGAGGCCGCCCGGATAGTTACTGGTTTACCAAAATATGCTACTAGAGATACTCTGATATATGAAACAGGTTGGCAAATGTTAAAAGAAAGAAGAAGATGTCGTAAACTGTCTTTATTCTATAATATCTACAACAAAAATGCTCCATCCTACCTTTGTGATCTTATGCCTCAAACTGTTGAATCTAGGACAAATTATAATCTTAGAAACATTCGTGATCTTTCCCTGTACTATTCCCGCACAAATCTCTACAGTCAATCATTTTTCCCATCATCTGCACAACTTTGGAATAATCTCCCTTTATATGTTAGAGAATCAGTTTCCCTTAAAAGTTTTAAATCGCATATAAGCTCGCGTAAGTCAAAAGCACCAGGATATTTCTCATTTGGTAATAGAAAACTCAATGTAATTCATACCCAGCTAAGATATTCAAATAGTAGATTAAATGGTGATCTATATAGGATCGGTCTCATAGAGAACCCCGAATGTAATTGTAAATTTACCTGTGAAAATTCTCAACATTATTTTATGGAATGTTCTTTGTATTCTGTTATTAGACAGGAAATGTTTCAAAATATTAGCAGAATTTGTAACATTAAAGCACCAACAAACCTAGACGTACAATTAAATGGCAGTGCAGCTCTTCTGTATAGTGACAATATTCACATTTTTAAAGAAGTTCAAAAATATATATCAAATTCCAAAAGGTTCAGTGATTGGATATAATGTGTATGATCTAAATAATTCATGTATTCATTGTATTGTATATATCATTTTGTATATATCTTTCTATCAGTGTACATATAGTTTGTTTCACTTTTGCATGTAAGCACTGTAAATAGGAGAGGGTTTCACTAAGTTGGCATAACTTGTACCCAATCCATTCTCTTGAATAAATATGTTTAAATCAAAACAGGTACATGTGTACTACGCTTGAACATAAAATTATGTGTATCATAAATTGATGCACAGCTACATTGAACATGCATATGAAGTACCCCAATAGTACAAAGAAACAATATGCCCCCTTTAGGTTATAACCCTTACTACCGCCACTCGACAAATCAGAATTCATGATATCGGAATAAATTGTTACCTGAGCGGTTATCAACACAATCCTTTACTCTCAAGGCGTCAACACAATGTCAAGGTCATGCGCAAGCAGTACAAAACATGCCCTCCTCCAGTCTAGCCGGACCGGAGCCGGTTTGCCTTGACAGTCTGTCCATATCTGACTATCAACCGTGCAGTCTCACTGTAGGGCGACGGAAATACACCAACTATCATTTCTTACACTTTTCAATATATATACGTACCGGTTGTACAGTTTGACAGTCAGATGTTCCGAGTAACGTTATAATTCACAACATCGGGTTGTATATACATGGTCAGAATTATAACGGGAGGTCTAAACACTTGGCAATACTGTAGGATGGTTAGATTACCTGCGGTCTTCTTGAAACCATAATAACGGTCTCTTACCTGTAATCATGGTACGGCCAGGTAAATGCTTGATTACTTCGCTTGAACGGTCGCAGTTGATCGAAAACACAACAGAGCAGATATGCGCACTGATACACTCCCAAACACAGAAACAGTTGAAAGGTCAACCAAGGGTCGACATAAAAGTCGGAACGTTATCTGGTTGTTGTGAATTAGGATTAGTCAAGAATGACTGGTTGATTAAATATATTGAACGTCTTCATACAATATAGGTGTAGAATATTTCTGAAAAGTATCACTATGTGGTTATATTTAATAAACTGTCATGATGGAAGGATTGGTTGATTGGTTCATTGGTTGGCGTATTGGTTAGGTCGATGTCTTCTCTCCATTAGAATATAACATACGTTATATTTGGGATTACACTTTCTCAGTAAAGTACAGATTCTAGTACTTTTTTCCTTTTCCCATGCGGGATTCGAACCCACACCCTCAGAGTCAGGCACTTAATCGCCAGCACACAAAGTCAGACGCTTAGACCGCTCAGCCACCGCGGCTTCCACAAAAATTGAAGTCGGACAACTGGTAGTCTAGAATGTGGGCTTTGTGTACCCCTCTGATAAGTGTTAATTGGCACGGCTCCCACGGCCGAATTCTATGAAATACACAATGCCATCGAATCCCTCGTGGTTCGAATCCCGCATGGGACTCAAACACACACACACACACACACACACACACACACACACACACACAAAAGAAGAAACAAAGTACTAGAATCTGTACTTTACTGAGAAAGTGTAATCCCATATATAACATATGTTACATTTGACCACTTTCTAAATTGGCATTGTGTATTTTGTGTATTTCCATTAGAACAACTAAAAATTTACAGTCAGTCATTCCATATTTCAGATTCATTCATTCATTAGCTATTAAAAAAATGGGAATTGTAAATGAAACAAGCCCCGTATTCAAATAACCAAACTTAAGTTGAAATAATAAGAATGAAAATGTACAAATTATAATATACACCCGCGCATTAATTAAGCACCACCGTATTTTGAAAATAAGATGTGTTGCTACAGAAAGGATAGGGTATAGCCGTCAATTTAATCAACCTGTAGTTAAAGAAACCTTATCCACTGACAGTTTTACAAATACCATAACCTTTTCTATTCTTTATGAAAGAATATGTTGATGAAAATGTGATGGGTCTGAATTTTTACCCAATATAACTATTCCTCTCCTGCTAAAGGTACGCAATTAAATTAAGTTTAGACTAAAAATAACAATTATGTTATATACCAAGATGATATTTACACATCAAGTAAGATTTAATTATGCATAATCAGGAAGAACCCGAATGTCAAAGATTCAGACCTTTTTCCAAAAATTCAGATTGCTAATTGACAAAAAAAATGAAAAAAGCCACATTAATAAGATTTTGGTATAAATCTTTTATGATTTTGAGTTTATTGTATCGAATAAAGTTAACACTTAGCCTTGTCGGATATTAATAATTACAGCTTAAATCTGGTTGTTTTGTTTGTAAAGCAACTTTAACTTCATTTTAAAATTTTCTTTTTGACTGTAACTTTTCCTAAATCTTAGTTTACAAACTTTCATCCATTCACAATAAACAACTTTATAGGCCACATAACAATCGATTATTACTTTCAATTTTCAAAATAAAGTAACTTGTTTTAGGACAGAAAAACACCTGTTTTATAAATAGGCAATTATCCTAATTAAAGTACGTGGTAATTTCAATGATATTTTCGTTTTTGAAATGTTAAATGCTTGCTCTATCAAATTATAAAGGTTATTTTTTGGAAAGAATTTCGAATTTCATTTCAGACAAAATTACTAAGTAATTGGTAAAAACACAGGGTGGTGCTTATTTTATGGACAGATGTATATATATACAAGTATATATATATATATATATATATATATATATATATATATATATATATATATATATAAACACAAACAATAATGGTAAATTATAATGGTTGGTTAGTGAAGCTATTATTTCAGTCATATGACACGATGAGAGTGATTGGTTTAGTTGGCTGGTTAATAAGTTATTTCTTTCGGGTAAATCACGGCATAGTTCAATGAATTGTTAGACAGTGTGATATTTCAGCTATATCAAGGTGTTGCTGACTGGTTAATTAGTAAATCATGTATTTCAAAGTCACGGTTGAATGGTTGGTTGTTTGGTTAGTTAGTCACTTGTTACAAGTATATGAAGGCGTGGTTGAATGGTTGGTGTGTCATTTAATTGATTATATGGTGTGTGGTTGAATGGTTGTTTGCTATGCCATTTATTTAATTTATATGATGTTTGTTTGAATGACTGTTTAGGTAGTCATTTATTTCAAATATTGGTTGGTTGTTATTTATCAAATGTGTGTTTGGGTGATTGGTTGGTTAGTCAAGAATTTACCACGGTGTGGTTTAGTGGTTGGTTCGTTTTGTGGTAGTTCATTTATATCAAGTCGTGATTAATATTTTTTTAGTTAGACTGTTATTTCAGTTACATCACGGCGTGTCTAAATGGTTGGCTAGTTAGTCTGTTATTTCAGTTACATTATGGCGCGGTTAAATGGTTGGCTTGTTAGTCTGTTATTTCAGTTACATTATGGCGTGGTTAAATGGTTGGCTAGTTAGTCTGTTATTTCAGTTACATCACGGCGTGTCTACATGGTTGGCCAGTTAGTCTGTTATTTCAGTTACATTATGGCGTGTCTAAATGGTTGGCTAGTTAGTCTGTTATTTCAGTTACATCACGGCGTGTCTAAATGGTTGGCTAGTTAGTCTGTTATTTCAGTTACATCAGTTACATCCGGTGTAAATGGTTGGCTAGTTAGTCTGTTATTTCAGTTACATTATGGCGTGTCTAAATGGTTGACTAGTTAGTCTGTTATTTCAGTGACATTATGGCGTGGTTAAATGGTTGGCCAGTTAAACTGTTATTTCAGTTACATCACGGCGTGTCTAAATGGTTGGCTAGTTAGTCTGTTATTTCAGTTCCATCACGGCGTGTGTAAATGGTTGGCTAGTTAGTCTGTTATTTCAGTTACATTATGGCGTGTCTAAATGGTTGGCTAGTTAGTCTGTTATTACAGTTACATCACGGCGTGTCTAAAATGGTTGGCTAGTTAGTCTGTTATTTCAGTTACATTATGGCGTGGTTGTAATACAGCTAGACGTATGACGTCATAATGGTTTACAGATGTGACGTCACAATGCTAAAACCTCTGTCACAATGGTATTAGGCCTTGCTTGACTCTCGGAAAGCTGAGAGCCATCACACTGAGGGCAGTTTCTATCAGTTTTTGCTTTCGCTCGTTTGATAACAAATCTTTAACTCGTTTAATAAAAATGGAATTACACGGAAAATCGTTTAGTATCCTCTATCTCAGTTACATCAGTGGATGGGTGACAGTTTAGCTATATCACGGCATGGATGCCTGTGGTGCACTTATGCAGTGGCGTGTTTGGGTCAGTGTGATTCTTCCCAACGGGACTACGTCAAAAATCCCTACATTGATCACCTTCGCAAACAGTTATGTCAATGACATCCTTCGACTGGTCAAATTGGTCTTTAGATGTCGGGAGAATGCTCAAGGGATAGCTTTCCGGTCTCTTGTTTGCCATTTAATGCATTCGGTGTCACTCACATGCTATGATACCTGTCCACAAATACAGATACTTTATCTCCAGGTCTTCAAACATATAATGATGGACATATTGCTGGACATCTTTACTGATGGCAGTTCCCTAAGAGAGGGAGTTTGTTTCGCACAGCCTTGAACGTTACACCACGATGGGCCAACTGAACGTCAGAGGAGTTGATTGATGGATGGAAGTGTCTATGAGTGTCGAAATGTCTCACACAAACCTTGAAGCATCAATATGGAAAGGAAAGGTCCAAGTGGCGCATTCTAACTACAGGGGCGGATACAGTTTTTTAAGAAAGGACGGTGTGTGTGTGTGTGTGTGTGTGTGTGTGTGTGTGTGTGTGTGTGTGTGTGTGTCTGTGTGTGTGTGTGTCTGTGTGTGTGTGTGTGTGTGTGTGTGTGTGCGCGCACACTTCATTTTCACCCGTTTTCACGAGAGTTTCAATGTTCATTTAATAAACTTGCAGGACAAAAAAGGGGGAGTGGGGCACCCTTGCACCCTCCACTGGATCCGCCTATGAACTATACTATCCCCAGAAAGAAATGCATAGGCATTTTGTATTTTCACAAATCTATTAATTACCTATTGTGTTCAAACAATCGTCACAATATGTAACAAAAATGTTGATAACATGGTTTTACACAATTGTGCAAGTCAAAAATCGACTTTACCTGAAAATGTTGATTTTGTTGAGATTTCTTACAAGGATAAAAGAGGCATCGCCACAACGCAAACGAAATCACCTTCCGGTTAAAATTGTGCAGCAAAGAGCATGCACTGCCTGGCTATAAAAATCCAGATTACTTTCGGAAATCGATATTCTTTTGTAAGAAGTTTCGAGCTCAAATCAATAAGCCACGTCTTGACGCTGCGACACAGAACATCGCCATTGAACGAATGCACGCTGGAGATTATCAATCTTCTGTTGCCAGGCGTCTGAATGTTAGTCTGAGCACGATATCACGGCTTGCAGCGCGTTACAACCAAACATGTATAACAAATGACCGTCCCCGTACAGGCAGACCTCGAGTTACCACTGCAGCCCAAGATCGGCACATCCGGGTACTACATTTGCGTGATCGTACTGCCACAAGTGAGGGCACAGCATACTTCGGATGATATCTGGTCAAACGGTACGGAACATGT